ATAACTTTAAAAATAAAGAAATTATGACAGTTTGAAATGTTATCAAGATAAAATGACCGCCCTGTACATACAGGTATAGGTGCTTATAAAGGTGATCCTTCTAAATATGAATATCATAATTTAAATTAAAAACTAAACTATTCGGAAGAAAGATTGTTTGGAAATAAAATATTGTATTTCTTTCGGAGTATAAGTATTCTTCATGTGACTTGCATGAATTTGATTCGCCTCGCTGCGCTCGGCGTTCAAACTTCCATGCGCGTCACACAAGTATTACTCACATAAGTATTTACTTATATTCCTAATAAAGAAAATATCTATTATTTTATCATCATGTACTGTTTTTAATTTGAACACACAAAAAATCACTTCTTGAAAATTACATTTATAAAATGACGGCCATTTCGTTCATGACACTCTTCAAAGTTTTCACGGACACTTCTGAAAACGTTCATAAGAAGTTGTCTGGGAATCTGCATCATTTTTTCTTCAATATTCCTTTTTAAATCAGGTTTCGTAGGTTATTCTCGTAAACAATTGATAGACTTAGGATAATCCCACAAGAAAAAATCAGGTGTGGACTCCGAGGCGGCCATTCGATGTCACCCCTTCTTGAAATGACTTTTCCGGGGAACAATCGTGCAGGGCTTCAATAGAGTAAAGTTCCTAGTGGTGTACGACGAAAAAGGTATATGACGACTACTAAAAATTAAAAATTTGAAGACCGATTCTGACAACGATGCCATCTTCAATCCCCTCTCACCCTTTAATTGCGACTCGCTCACACGCGGAATAGTTGTGTCTTTTTAAGACACCCTGTATATTCGTAATATGACTACCGTAGGAAATCAATGGACAAAGGCTTCCTTCTTTACCTAATCATTTGGTAATTTGTTTGCAATTACCACTGTTTCAAACCACTCCTTTTTATAATGGAAATTTAAAGAATTTATATAACTCACATCAATCACCCACTTAGGGTGGGTAGGTATTATAAAACAATTTTGACCGATAACTAAAAGTTAACTTCTGGAATTACTATGAGAAGTAACGTCATTCCAGACGTTAAATTTTAGTTATTTTGTCAAAATAGTTTTACAATAAGTACCCGCCTTTAGTGTACTGAAAAAACTATAAGTAGTCCACAACTCTGGATATCACCAGACGGTATGGTATGATAAAAAATGAGATAGATTACTTTCCATGTGAAAGTTAAAAGTACCTTAATAAATATTTGAAGGTATCACAATCACAGATTCACCACAGGCATAGAGAGATCATAGAGTTCTGAGAGTTAAAATCAAACTCGGGATCAAGTTCGAGCAAAGAGAGTTGTTCGAGTGCGTGGATAATAATCAGAGGTACCTAGATGGCATAATATAGACGAGATTTAAACCAATGATAGATTGAATGAACAGCTTTTAAAAGCAGGATAGAAAGAGCAAAGAAGGAAAATAAAAAGGAGGAAAGAAGGCGTCTTCTGAGCGACGACAGGGAACGAAATCCAACGGAATAATATGGACAAATTAATAAAATTGAGCAAACAACTCTAGCATTAGATATTAGGAATAACAACGGAGCAATGATGAAAAAAGTCATAGCAAATACCAAAAAAAAAGCGCTACAAAAAATGTGATAGGACTGACATTGAAATCTAGTTATTAACCCAAATATACAAGGTGTTCTTGGAAATCATCACCAACCACTTCTCACCATAAAAATGCTTAAAGAAAAAGCCAACCAATACCATCTTTCCATTTCTTTCTTTCTTTCTTTCTTATGAGAAAGCATTCGATAGCATTGAGCTATGGACTATTGAAAAGAGCAATGAACAACTGTCCAATCGACTCTTGGTAGATACAAAAAGATCTTCACTACATCCAAAGAAATGCCCGGAAACGCCACATTGACAGCACAGAACAGTCCCATTCAAATCAGGCAAGAAGTCATATAGGGAGATATGATATCATCGAAACTTTTCTCGCTGGCAATAGATGATGTATTTAGGAAATTAAAAATGATATAAATACCTATAAAGGGCAAGCAATTGAATAATCTACGGTTCCTCACCACATCGTACATATTCCCAAATTTACAAAGTGTGGTTCTTTCGCCTATATAGGTATTATATCTGAACAGTTGAGAAAAAGGTGCCCATCGAACGTAGCTCGAAATACATAGGATTTAGTTTCGGCTTTCTGTAGACTCATCAGATGTGAAGGTATCGTATGACTCTTAAGTGACATAGAAAATCGAAGATGTTGGTGATATGTTTGGTCAAGAGCTTAATCTGTGATTGCTAGACGGACACCAACATCTATGAATTCCAAAAGTTGCAAAAAACTTCACTCGATGAGTATTCAGTTGGCAAGAGTATCGAAAAAAATAGGTTTGAAGGTCAATATGGGGAAAACAGAAGTAATGGCAAATATCCCCGCAAAAGAGTCACGATTGAAAAGCACTCATTGGAAAAAGTCAATACATCTACCTACATACTAAAACTTGATGTAGTCAACCAAATAATGTAAAATGTATGAAGAACGATACAAGCATGACCAGGTATTAGCAAGATTCCAGAAAAAATTTCACTTAAACTGAAAGGAGAGTTTATAGCCTGTATTACCCTAGATTATTACCCATAATACGCAGAGCGAATTCTGGTCGTGCCACCATCTAAGACTAGGATTCAGCACTAAACAACATTTTTGCTGTAAAAGTACTCACCGTCTAATAGGCCGACCAAAAATCAGTTACCTAGTTGGGGAAACTCAAAATAGGAAAAACAAGTTTTCTTCTATTATACACTGATGTGAAACTTTTGGGTCAATTTTCTTCGCTTTTCCATCCGCAGTCAGTACTTTTACAGCAAAAATGTTGTTTAGTGCTGAATCCTAGTCTTACATGGCACCACGACCAAAATTCGTTTTTCGTACTATTTCTACTTTGCTTACAGGCACTAAAGTTGGATTGGGTATCTTTGCTTTACTAGCCACACTGATAAGGTCTGGATTCTTTATCTGATAGATCCAAACGCATCTGTGGATGGAGAAGCGAAGAAAGTCAACCCAAAATTTTCACATTACCCATAATGTTATGTGGAAGTCGAACTTCGAAAGTCATAACGAACAATGTCGACAAACTAAATCTACTCAACTGGCCTTAAATCGGATAAAGACTTTTTTCCTTTACGTTGCTTTGTATTTTGAATCTGTAGATTGTAGAGTAATCCAAGTCACAATAATTCAGGATATACATGGACAACGTTGTATTTACCTAAAACTATGAGGAAAATCCTTCTGCAACTTGACACTGGAAAATCTTGTGGTCCTGATAGCATCCGTCCTCGAAACTTGCACACAAGAATTGGCTTCAGTTCTTTCCAAACTGTTTCCACCTCTTACAGTCGAGGAATTTTCCTGTCTATATGAAAATGTGCCAACGGTGCAACCCATCCCGAAAAAGGGTATCAACACTTTCTAGCGATTATCGTCCCATCTCATTCGTAATTTCCGAAATAATGGAAAAGGCAGTCAACCCTTAACTGGCTAAATACCTCGAAGCCAATAAGCTCATCTCTGACAAACAGTACGGATTTCGTTCTAAAAGATCAACAGGGGATCTGCTGGTGTATGTCAGCTCTATTTGGAACTCGACTCTCGAAAAATATGTCGAATCCAGAACTCTAGCATGGGACATCTTAAAGGCTTTTGATCAGGTGTAGCACAAAGGTCTCCTCAGCAAACTTCAATCGTATGGTCTTCCGAATGAATTTTGCCATGGGCTAGAGAGCTTTTTGGAAGGCAGGTCATGGTGTACCTTTTGATACACTGCCTATAAATTCCGGCGTTCCCCAAGGCTCAATTGTATCCCCAACACTGTTTCTCATTTTTATAAATGACTTGTTAAATGTGACAAGAAACCCCATATACAGACTTGCGGACGATAGTAGCTTGATGATATCTTTCTCTACCGACAAACCGCAGCTACTGCAGCCACTTCCACACTCCCCGCCCGAGAACAGATTCACTCTATCAGCAGTGATCTTGACTCTTGACACCATTACCAACTGGGGCCTCAACAGCCTAGTCACAATTTAATGGTTCAATTCTGTAATAAGAAATCTTCCGCCGACGATAACCCAGTTTTTAGGGATGTAGGGACAAAACCTTTTTATCAACCCCTCAGTATCTCGTCTTGGGGTTACCGCATCGACCAACGTGTCTTGGCATGACCATGTACCTATACCTTCAAACGCCGAAATCGTTCCTCGAAAATTATTTTTTTTTGTCTCATCAACTTCTTCTTTATAATATCATATCATGTATGGAACACTGTTCCCACATTATACGGAGCGTTACTCCCAAGCATTCGTTGGCTTTATCAGATTCAGTACAAAGAAGAGCATTGAAAACGATCGATAATCCAAGTCTTATACCGATTCATGGCATAATCTCTCGAACATAGAGGCAAGGTGGCTGACTTGTCGTGATTCTATCGCTTTAACCGATCTGGCTAGCCTCATTCCAGCTAGGAGAAGTTATTTGAGAACCTCACAGGCATGCCATCCGTATATGTGGCTACCTCGAAAACCTCTAAATATACGGCTTCTTTTTGGGGGCGTACTGTCCTTATTACTATTACCTACCTAGATCAACTAAAATCTTAGTGCGAACAATTGAAAACTGAGCTTATTTTCTCCGATATAATTCCTCTGCAGGCCTATATTTATGTAATTGTTTAACTATAATCAAAGTCTCTGTAATCTTTTGATCCACACCTAATTAACTTAGAAAGCTTGTTGACAGCCGAATTTACAGATAATCTAATCCTCAATAAATGTGCAATGTACCATTTTCCATTACGAGCAAATTTGAATGAAGTTGTAGATTTCCTATGATGAGAAACTCACCTTAGTATATGACATAAATACTTCCTCTACCAGAATGATCGGGTACATACTAGTAAATACTGGCAATTCTAAATTTATTTTTATTTCCTAGCAAATTTTCTTGGAAGGCGCTCTTCCGCCTCAATCACAAATCTTGGTAGCCGACTCAGCAACAGAGGCTCAAAGGGACTCGGAAGACGATTCGCCAGTAGTGCTTGCCGGTAAAATGACACTTAGCGTTATTAGTTTAGATTCTGGTAAGTATAAGCATTAGGCAATAATTATTATTAGTTATGTATTTTCATGTTTTTCTTGAATGGCAATATATTTTCTCTAAACTCCACAATTAAGCAGAAGAATTTTCAAAAAAATCTTATTCATGTATTGAAATCCAACTAGACTATTTTTTTTTTAGGTTTAGCGTAATCATAAATTGATTAGTATGTTTGAATTTATTCTAGAATAAATGATATCTATGCCCATATATTTTTGTAACATAACATATATGTAAATAATCAAATCTAGGTAACATTTACCTATAAATTCCAAAGATGTACCTATTTAATTATAATAAAAAAATTTAAGAGTGATTTCCAGATGATTTTTTTTTTCAATAAAACAGCCTCAAAACCTCAAGTGTCAAAACTAATAAAAAGGTATGTTTTGAGTGTGATATCCCCTTAAAGGATTTATCAAAAAGTAACATCATTATACTCAAGCTAGTTTACTTTTTGAACAAACCTCTTTTACCTACCACTAACATCACCATAAGCCAATAAAACGGCAGTAATTTTTCATACACTCTTTAGTACCTACTAATATAACAAATTAAAGCTTCTCAGTATATCTACAGCAAAATCTTTCCACAAATCACAATAAAACCAACATTTATTCTAGAACAGATTCGAATCTTGTTTTCACAATGAAAATTTTTTTCTCTATTCTAGAAACTGGCACCGATGATTCTACCAATTCCGGAAGAAAATCTTCCGATGAAGAACAAAGAAGCAGCAGCGGCCACACTTCGGAAGGTTTCGAGAAAATTAATGCCGCCGATCTTGAGGAACAAATTAATAATATCATCGAGGAAGCTGAAAATATTGCATTGGCTGAAGAAAGAGACTACAGGTAATTTGTTTTTATTTTTTGAGGTAAAAAAAAATTATAGTTACCTACTGTTTTAGTCCTGACGTTGAATTAATTCCACTTTCCGATGAAGAACTAGCCAATAAGGCACCTCAAATCAACGAAAAAGACAAAGACAATAGCGTTTTGGAAGAAATAAAAAATCAATTCAATCTCGAAGATGATCTTTTGCAAGCTTTAACTGAAAAGGGGCTCGGTGAAAAAGCAGAAATGCCTGTAACTGATTTAATTAAAGAATTCTTAAGTAACGAAGAAGGTTTATTGCTTGAAACAGATGATGAAGAAAAAATTGTTGAAGAATTGGAAGCAGAAGAAATTCCAAATTTAGATGAAGCAGAAACAAAGGCAACCGAAAGCAGTGATGAAATTCAACAAGTACCTGAAGCAATAAATTTGTCGGATCTCTTGCTTCAAGGACTGCTAGTACAACCTGATAATGAGGAAACGTCGGACTTTGAGCCTCAGAGTGATATTGCTGAACCACCTACGCCAGATACAAGCATCAAAGACGATTCTTTATTGGAATACAGCGATGAGCCTACAGCTACAGACGAAGATCAACAGCAAAAAGAGGGGGATATCGGGTCTGAAGAAGGAGACATTGACGAAGAAGTTGAAGAAGAGGAATATAGTGATGATGACGAAGAAGAGTTAGGGGAAAATAGAGAGTCTGTGGAGAGAAGAGCGAATGGTGATGATGAGGAATTGTCGAGAAATGGTGCTGGGAATAGTCAGACAGCGGCGGAAAATGATATTTCCGAGGTAAATTTTGAACAGCTGAAAAAAATAGGTTTAAGGGCTCAATAACTGACTTTATCCAGCTGACCAGATCAAAGCTGCCCATTTTTTCTTTTTGTAGTTCTAATAAAATCCTTAAATGGTCTTGCATTTTTTCATTCTTCATAGGAGAATGTTTAAACTTACTCCTGGAACCCGACAATATCTTATCTTGCCCACTTGAGGGGGACCTATCAACATTTTCATGAATTATGACGACGGTGCTGTGTTCTATTCTCAATTATCCTGTCTTTGATAGTCAGATATTCTTGACCTTTGACTTTAATTCTTCTACAATATCCATAATTTCTGCTTGGTTGTTCCGGCTTTTTTTATCGTTTCCACCAAAAATTTTCTAAAATCCACAGGTGATATCTTTTTGATTCCAGGACGAAGATGATGACGAAGAAATAGAAGAAATAATAGAATATGTGGATAATACTGATGACGAAGGTGAAGAGATAATCGAAATTAACGGCAACGAACGTAGACATCTTGATGGAAACGGTGAAAATAATTAAACAACAGCTCAATATTATTCTTTAAAAATGAGATAAAGAGTGAATTTTTTTAATTAATATCATTATGTATTTTTAGAATTTAAGAAATTTACCCTTAAAAAGCACTGACGTATTCGTATATTCATTAAATGCATGCATTATTGGGCGCGTCCAACATATTTTTTTACAAATAACTAGCTTAGTAGCTAAATAATTGTCAAAGTTAAATTATTAGTTAGATTTTTGTCCCATAGATGATTTATCTTAGAAGTATTAATAATTGTTCACCTATCTTACAAATAAGTATATTCTTGAAAAACGTGCCAAATTTCATGCTTGTTTAGAAAGAGCTAGACAGAGAAGAGAAGAGATGAGTCTAAGTTATACTTATTAATTCTAGAAATTAGTTTCGTCTCTTGCGTTTCTTCGTAGATATTTTTTAGTTTTTGAAATCGATATGCAAATAAATTTTGTTTATTTATTTGAGATGTTTTTATTTAGAATATCTATGAAAGTTAAAAAAAAAACGAATTCTTGCTTGTTTCTAATAATAATTAGAACGAAAATCCTTAAAACTCAAGACCAGGAAGAAGCCTACTCTTCCCTTGAAGAATCCATCACTCTGAATACTCTGCTCACTGGCCTCGAACCTTGCCTTGATCAGGTTATCAAGGCTGGAAATACATGCTCACTTTTAAATGCTCAATGCAAAAAAAAAACCCAACTCTCCTATTTTGAGAATCATAAAGCCAACGAAAATTTTTCTTCAAAAAGTTTCAATTGTTTTAGTTCGCAATTAAAGATGCACTCACCAAATTCACCCAAACTGTTGCAATTTCATACTCTTCTACTATTTCTAATCTTGGTTACGCCTTCGAGAAATTACTCTGATTGTGGAGGTGAACTCAAAAATTTCCTACTATGACATGAATCTGACGATTCGAGCACAACCCAAGAAATCAATGATGGACTGGAAGGTTCCATGCAATTTTCACTGAGAAGATTCCTGTTCATATAGATAAACATCCTAAAAGAATAACCATTCAACATTCTTTAATATGCATTAAGCATTCCATAATAAAACGCACATGGATTTACTTCTTAGAAGTTGATTGTTGGCATATCAACTTAAATAGGCCCAGAAACCAGAAACTTCTATCAAACAAAAATCGCTCATATCCTAATATATGTGAGCCCTCAACTAGAGAATGGAATTGTTGTGGTTTCAACAACCACGTTACCGTCGATGTGGTAAGGTTTACAAAAAAAAAACACTTCGAGATTTTCTTTCAATTATTTATTCTTTATTTTTTTAAGTTAAAATATTGAAAGGCACAACTTGCTCTGAGCTAGGAGGCAGTGGCGACACGTGACCAGCACTCTGGGAGGAAGGGGTAAATGGCACGGGAGGTTGAGGGGGCGCCCTCCGAAAACACGCCGCGGGCAAAATTTTTTTGCAAATTTCAAGGTCATTCACTTTTCTAGAACAATTATTTCCTTTGTGAGAAAAATAAAACAAAACAAAAATTTATTTTCTTCAATACAGGGTGTCCCAGCCAAAAGTGAACCATTTTAAATGGTTATAACTTTTAAACCAGGTGTGCTAGCTACCTGCGGTTTGCGCCATTCAATTTCTCTTGGTCTAAAGTTTTTTCTAGAAAGTTTGAAATTTTTTCAAAACTTATACAGAGCAAGTAAAAAAAATCCGTTTCTCAACATTGAAATTCTCCACTATTTTTAATGGAACACCCTGTATATAGTGAAATTATTTAAACAGTGTATGCACGTGATCAATGACGGGTCTAAGGACAGAACACTGTTGGCATTTAACCGAATCGGCCGATAAAATGACATTTAGATTGGCACTCATGGGTTATGTTGCCAAATATTGCTGCAAATCTGCGGTTACTGATTTTAATAATTTGAAATTATTTCTATTTGTGTATCTATAAAATACCAAAGTCATTGAATAGTCAGAGTCAGAAACTCGTTGTGTCTCTAATTAGTTTCTTTGAACAGGATCGAGATAATGGGGGCCCCTTTTTGCCATTAAATAGCGTTAGAGAGGTGAAATATATTGATACTATCAAATATAAATCTTCTGGGGCTTTAATTGGGAATATTTTTCCAGCGTGTTGCAGCTGCACTGAATATTGGAATAACCACTGTGAGTAAAATCCAATGTAAAATCTCTCAAAAAGTTAGGGATAATTTAGCGTTTAATTTTGATCACTTGCATACACTGTTTAATTAATTTCACTATATCACAACGTCAAAAAAAAAGAATAATGTTCAAGGTATCTATGTACGAATAGACATAGTCCCTAAAACTTGAAGTTTTAGCCGTGAAAAATCAAAATGGAAATCATGGTATTTTTGCAAATGCATATTTACAAAGCTTGGAACTTAGGTTTGCCCAATAAAAAGTTAATAAAAACTGCATAAAACTATACAAAATGCTGTATAGGTAAATGTTAGCTATTCTGTTCCAGGCATTTATGGATCAGTAAATGGGTGAATGACATGTGTAACATTTCCTGGGGAATCGCTTCAATGACATTACAAATTTTCCGCTTAAGATCTTTTAGGCTATTATTTGAGCAAAAGATTACAGCCTCTCTCCTTGACATAACTCTAATGAAAAAAGTCTGGAACTCTCAAGTCAGGAGAGTAAGGTGTCCATTCTATAGGACCTCCATATCCGTCTTTCCCCAAATGTCATATCTAGGTAGTGATTCCCATGCTATTAGAGAATAATGAGGTGGGCGCACCATGAGGTGAGGGCACCATCCTGCTGGAAATAGATGTCATCCAATATACCCTCCTGTCTTAACTGTGGAAAAAAGAACATATCAGTGTATACAATTTGTGTTATCGTTGATTCATTAATGGAGATGGTCTGTATTTTTTTCTTAATGGAGATTGCACACCAAACTGTTACTTTTAGGGTATCTCTATTTGACGAGTTCCAGAGAAAATACTCTGGAACTTGTAAAATTTTCTTGCAAATCGTATTTTGACTTAATTTATATCTTACTAGACAGTTACAAAATTCTTTGTCATAGTGATATCAAGTACCTACAACATGAAGTTGCATGCGTTTGCAAAAATACCAAGATTTCGATTTTGATTTTTTACCTCTAAAACTTCAAGTTTTAGGGACGATGTCTATTGGTACATGGATACCTTGAATATTATTTTTTGTTCGACGTTGTGATATACAGGTGTTGCATTGAAAATAGTGGAGAATTTTGATGTTGAAAAACTGATTTTTTTTCACTTGCCCTGTATAAGTTTCAAAAAAATTTGCAACCTACTAGAAAAAACTTTAGACCAAGAGAAATCGAATGGCGCAAACCGCAGGTAGCTAGCACACCTGGTTTAAAAGTTATAACCATTTAAAATGGTTCACTTTCGTCTGGCACACCCCTGCTTTTTTTCTGCACACTATCTTATCTTAGCTAACTTTGAAAATCTAAGCTGAGCTAAGTTGTAGTTCAAACGTACACATTAGATGGACGAAGGATCTAACCCTAAATAAACATAACCAGGTAAGAAATTGAACTAAGGATGGAATCCGGCATCCTTGGCGTAGGCAAAAAACGGTCCTTTATTTCAGAAGAACTTAGGTTAGCTGAGACTGGTGTTAGAAAAAAAGCAGCTTATATGTATTTTCTTTTGGGTATCCTGATTTTTCTCTTGATAATTCGATCCTGGGGGGGTAATAGGGTACTTGCATGAAAAATCAAATTGATTATTGTTTATTGCAAACTGTAAGAAATCGAAAAAAATCAATACGTATTTTTTTATTTTGCCAAAATATGATTATTCGGAAAGTTATTCAAATATTAAGTTTTGTATATATAGATAGGTATACTGAGCATGTGCAACGTTACTAATTTATATGATGAGTGACGTCATAGGCATATATTTCATAGCATTGTATCTCCATCAATTTTTGACTAAGAAGAAGAAAAAAAACACTTATTTTTTATTGACTAACGAAATCAGCGATCAAAAAAATTGATGCAAGGACCCTATTACCCCCATTACCCCTTCTGACGCGACGTCTCTGCTAGGAGGCTACTGACTGTCCCTTCTGGCCTTCTCCTTTCTCACCCTACAAAAATGGGCTGTTTAAAGGGGGTGTAACCCAAAAATAAAAGTTTTAGAAAAAAAAAATCTAAGAACAAATTTTTAAACCGCACTAGGCTACGACCAACCGTTGCGAAGATATCGTGGTATTAAGTTGCTACTCCCAACACTGTGACGTCAGAACCACAGCTGAATCCGCCGGCCGGCGCTGCACTGGGCGCGCGTTTGCTCATGCTTGCTGCATATATCGAGATTATCGTATTGTTTTTGCGTTCAAATTTAAATGGGTTTTTTAATTTTTTAAGATAAGATATTCTAAGTTTTTTCTTCAATAATAATGGCTTTTGGTTTTGAACCAAAATATTCTAAAAAAGAACTTGAGAAATTAAAAAACGACGAGGAAAAAGGAAAAAATGGCAAAAACCCTGAAAGAGTTAATTCGCTTACATAGTGCAAGTGTTTTAACTGTATATACAGGTCTGGCAAGTCAGCATTTTACATGCCAATTTTAATGCAATAGAGTGAAATGTCTAAAAAAGTCTAAGGTTAACGCAGCGCTAATTGCATATACTTTCTTTTTTAGCACCTTTATTGGATAAAAAAAGAGTCGGAATAACATTCTTCTTCAATCTCATGGGTATTTATCTTTTCATTAGGCAATAAAGTCTTCTTTAAACTATGTTCAAAGTCATTTTCATTAAAGTGTAGGTAGGAGGTAGGTACACTAAAAACCACATGGCGATGATTGGGATTAAAATTTTTCCGGTTTAAGCGATTTTTTCACGCTTTGTATAAAGCTGGCTGTAGTTCTTTCTTCGGAAATGAATACAATGAAACAACAGCATTTTTAGGATTGTTATATTGCAACCTTCAACACAGCAATTAGGCATTTTTGATGTTATTAGATAAATGAAACACTATCAACAAGCAACGAACAAATTAAGCAGAAGAACGTTAATCTATAAACGAAATACACTAATAAATAGGCTACTACTGAGCGTGTAATGACACGCGCCTCGCGCCCTGAGCCGGCCAACACGCTCGTCGCGTGGTTGTGACGTCACGCGATTAATAGACAAACCTTTATTCAGGTGTTTCTACCTTATTATTTTGAGTAGCGATGCGAGATTTTCACAAGAGTTCTTAGAATTTTTTTCTTTATTTTTTAAAAGCAAGTTGTATTTTAAGGTCACACCCCCTTTAAGGTTTAGGAAGAGCCCATTTGGAACTTTTATGATGGTACAAAAATGGTTACTAACTACTATAAAATATTCTCTTGGACTTAATAAGCTTATAACACTATTAAACAAGGGTATTTAATTTTAGGGGTTTTATCGGACAATTTCCCCGGTTCCTTTGATGAATCTCCGGAACGCAGGGTTGCCAGTCGT